AAGACGCTGTCACAGTAGACCGCCGATATGAAATTTTGTATTAGTTGAATGATGGTGGGAATATTGTCCGTAACTTACTGATATATCTTCAGAAGATCGCATGAGGGTGCCAATTGGTTCTTCGATTGTTTATGGAGACTAAAGAATGTGTATCAATGAAATTCCTAAATTTAAGTCGGACTCATCATCCAACTTCATTTTCAGCAAAGATAAAACGTGACGCTGTTTTAGACACTTTGACGTTATAATCCATGCGCCGTAAGGTGATACAATATATGGCATAAAATCACATAATTTGTTTATTTATGCATATATTTATCTGAAATTTGCTATGTATATAACTAAAATATGTACTAAATAATAGTGAAAATTTCAGGACGCAGTGATGTTTATTTTTTACACTACACAACTTGTCCACGATTTTACGGGACAACCCTCGTAGTACCTAATTTCTTTAAATACACTACTACTTAAACTTCTTTGACTATACTGCACCACTGTACCAAAATCTAGGGGGGTTGGGGCTTGGCAACCGACCTTTCGATGAAGATTTACTATGGTAAAAAAATTATGTTTGGAGAAAGGGGGGGGGGTGTATGTACTGTAAATCTAAGTTTACTATGATGTCAACAACCCTGTATCCAAAGTAGATAACACGAAACATATATATTCTTTAAATAAATCGCTTATGACATTTAAGAAGCTATTATAAATTAATTAAGCATATACGAGAAAAGAGTAGCCCAGTTTTATGTGGATTCACAACTTTAAATTTGAGAATGTACAGTTGTTTTTATTACGAAACATGTCATGTGCGAAAAGCATTATCGTGAAATATACTCTGTCTCGGATACTTTTTTATGTGTATGTGATTTCCAGGATAGAATATGTGCAACTTATGCTGTCAAGAAATATGATGTTTTTTTTATCTTATGTTTGTAAAAAAATATTTTGTATTGTAATAAACATAGTAAAAGTCAACACGTTGTTACTTTGTATATTTAGTATGATTTCCAAACTTCTTCAGTTTGATTTGGAAGAAAAAGCTTATTTATTATAGGCATAAGGCTTTATTCACTTGAATGGAAAAAGTAATTAACTTTTGTGATTATTAAAGATGGTATTTAAATATAAGATCTGTAATTATCAGATTTAATGTATCCTAAATACTGTGTTTAATGGTTGTAAATATTGACTTTACTTTTTTGTAAAGTCAAGACAACCTAAGAAGAATATTCTGTCCTTCCAAAATAACGAAATCTACAAAATCCGTGACAAAGTGTAAAGATCCGCGATGTTCGCTGAGTTTGATCTTACGGTACTCAGGAACTTAAATATGCTGTTTATGCACACGAATTCTGGCTTTCAATGTGGTCCCCGTTTCACCGATGTAGAATTGGTTGGCTCCTCCGCAAGTAATAACATATATTAAATTTTTGGACTCACATGTCATGTCTGAATTAATAAAGAAATCTTTTCCTCTGAAATTAAATGACGATCTTTCTCTTAAAACAGAACATGTGCCACATCGCGGATCTTTACACTTTGTAACGAATTTTGTAGATTTCGTTAATTTGAAAGGACAGAGTATTCTTCTGAGGTTTTTTGGGCTGCCATTTGCTGTTTATAAACTTGAATTAAAAAAAAAAACATTTGACATTTCTTCATCCGTTTTGAGAATTTTGTTCAGATTTCGAACGATAGGTTTAATATTTTGGTTTTTAGGATTGTAAGTTGTATATATATATATATATATATATATATATATATATATATATATATATATATATATATATATATATATATATATATATATATATATAAACAAAAATTGTCAATTACGACTGAATTTCCTCGGGCGAACAGGACACATTTAATTCTTGATAAAAACATTGAGCGCAATTGCTCAAGATAGATTTTTTTAATGTCAGTTCTTATGTGCGATAGCTATCTGACTTTCTATTATGAATCCTGATCAAGCATGTGCTCATATTTAACATAATGAAAAATCATCGACAATTGCACTGAATTTTGAAAATTTCCCCAAACATTGCTTCTTCTGAGACTGTATTCTACTATATGACGACCCATAAAAAGTAAAAAAATAAATCCTAGATATAGTCAGATTGGATTGTATTTTATTCAGTGATGTACAAAAATAGCATGTATGATTGACTTCAAATTTTGAGAAATCGGAAGGCAGAAAAATGCAATAGTGCACATAGCTCTTAGGTTCCGCCCCTTTCTGTAGCCTTAACTATGCTGTAATTTCAAAAAAATGTAGTAAAATTAATATAAAACGCGGAAAAATCAAGCTTTGCAACTCAACAAATGTTCCATATATATATATTGAAAATGAAAACAACAGAGATTTAAAATGTAATTTGATACACATCCATTTGAAAGACCTTTTATCATATAAAATATAACAATATGTTTTCACTGTTGGCTCATTGCTTTTAGAAAATAAACAAAGTAAAATGTTTGATATATAATATAACACTCATACGTTTTCATTGTTGTATCATTGCTTAAAAAACTAAACAATGTAAAAATATTTGTTTGAATGAAAATGGTTAATTGAATGCATAATTGGATTTATTAATTAAGCTTTGACCCGTTTTATAAAGGAAGAAAAATCATTTTAATAAGAACAATTCATCTTAAATTCATGGCATTTTAACCCCGTCCGGTTATACTATCGACGAGCTTTACATGTAATATATGCGAATTGTACTAAAATGTTAAGTTCAAACAATGAAAATAAATCTAAGCTGATCTGGAGTTTCATAATAATATCTTTGTATACAATTATTATATATTGAATTATTCATGTTGACAAACATGCCATTATTCACGATCTTTTTGGACAACACTCGTATCTTCAATATGTTCTTCAGACAGAGTATCGCCTCACATATTTCTTTATTTCTCTGAACATTCTTTTATGTACTGGGATATTCATAATGTCGGACCAACAGCAGCTACTTCGAGATTCACACAAGTGTCTTCTCGTCCTCTCTAGAGCAGACATACTTCCGTTATCTTTTCTGTCAAATATCCATTCAGACTCATCATCCGCCAAAGATTGATACTCTTTGTACAACACCCTGATATTGATATTCACACCAGCCTCCAGGAGTATACTCCACTTCTCTACTCTGTCGACGACTCTATTTTCATCAATTAGTGCGAAAAGCAGAGGTTTCAAGTAATGCATCCCTTTGTAGTGCAAACATATCCATTGATTAACATCTAGACTAAGACTTAAAAGATATTTCAGTACATTACAGTTTCCATATATAACCGTCTGATAAAATTCATCCTTCATTTTCATATGCCACACTCTTCTCTGTGTCATGAACATATCATCCTTGCTAGTTTGCACGTAAGCATATATAGAGTTGACTGAACAGTCATAAAAAGGTAATTCTAAGCTACACAAATGACACATGTCGATCTTGAGAAATATCTGTTCTACAACATCAAGTTTGTACCAATCATGCTGAATATATACTGAAGACAAAAAAGCTTTATCACACTTCTTTGAATGTGCGTTATCATTGCTGAACATAAGCTGAGCAGATAAAACCTTCATGGCGTTTTTGAAATCTGCTTTATAAAGACTCCCCTTTTCTTTCTCCCTATGTCCATCGATATTAGCTCCTGCTTCTAACAAAACCTTCGTCATTTTTACATCTACCATATAAACGTATTCTCCCAGTAGCGTATATTCAGAATCTTTTAGATTGACATTATGTATGAGTTCCTTCACAATAACAGAAAGTCCTAAAGTACATGCTATTTTCAGCGGTGTATAAAATTCACATTGCAAATTTGCATCAGCACCCGCTTGTAGCAGATTCATTACTACACTTACAGCTCCACACTTGCATGCTGCTGTTAGGGGTGTATCTGATTCTCCTTGAAAATTAACGTCAGCACCTGCCTTAAGTAATTCTTTTATAACACCGATATATCCATGTTTACATGCTTTTATCAGTGGTGTTTCTTTTTCATATTGCAAATTGACATCTGCTCCCACCTCTAGCAGTTTCTCCACCACACTTATAATTCCAACCTCGCATGCTGCTGTTAGTGGCGGTTTATCTGTACCCTGTAAATTGACATTTGCCCCCGCCTTAAGTAGTTCCGTTACTACCCTAACATCTCCAAGTTCGCATGCTGCCGTGAGGGGTGTGTTATCTCCACCCTCTGGATTGACAATTGCCCCCGCTTTTAGCAGTTCTTTCACCACACTTATATCTCCAACTTCGCATGCTGCCGTAAGTGGTGTCTTTCCTCCATCACGTGGATTGACATTCGCCCCCGCTTCTATCAGTTTCATAATTACACGCATATCTCCTTTCTTACATGCTGCCGCAAGTGGTGATTTTACTCCATCCTGTGGATTGACATTCGCCCCCGCCTCTAGCAGCTCCTTAACCACACTTATAAATCCTGTCTCGCATGCTGCCGTGAGTGGGGATTTATTTCTACCCTGAGGGTTGACATTTGCCCCATCCTCTAGCAGTTTCTTCACCACACTTACATCTCCAACTTCACATGCCGCCGTAAGTGGTACCTTTCTTCCTCCATCACGTGGATTGACATCTGCCCCCGCTTCTAGCAGTTTCAAAACTACACGCATATCTCCTTTTTTACATGCTGCCGCAAGTGGTGATTTTTCTCCATCCTGTGGATTGACATTCGCCCCCGCCTCTAGCAGTTCTATCACTAAACGAATATCCCCTCCATCACAAGCTACAGAGAGTGGTGATTCCCCTCCATCATGTGGATTGACATTCGCCCCTGCCTCAAGCAACTCCTTCACTAAAAGTATATCTCCTTTTATACATGCTGCTGCCAATGGTGTATGAAGGAAATCCCCCATATTGACATCGGCCCCCGCCTTTATCAAATCCTTTACTAAACTTAGATGTCCAAACATGCATGCACGCGTCAATGGTGATGTAAGAAAGTGATTTGTTTTATTAATTTCAGCCCGCCTCAAGCAGAATCTTTACTACATCTATAGATCCAAGCAGACACGCTTCTGTCAGTGGTGTTTCTATTCCTACATAATTGACATCAGCTCCTGCCTGTAAAAGCAATGTCACAATTTTTTTCATTTTTATGTGAACATGCTTCTATCAGAGGTGACGTTGGCATATCTCGTGGATTAACATCAGCTCCCTCCTCTAACTGTTGTTTAACTGCATTTATATTCCCGCCAGTGCATGCTGCTATCAGTGGTGTCTCATGATTACCCTCTAAATTTAGGTTTGCTCCAGAAAGTTTTAACTCCTTAACTACATCCATATGTCCATGATTATATGCTTCTGTCATAGGAGTAGAATATAAACCTTTTAGATTGACATAAGCTCCCGCCTTAACAAGTTTCTTCACTATATCAACACGCCCTGTTCCACATGCTGCTATGAGTGGTGTATCTAATAAACATTGCTGATTTACAGCAGCCTTCACTCTTAGTAACTCGTTAACTATACACATATGTTTATTCCTACATGCTTTTATTAGTGGTGTTGCGAATTTGCCTCTTAGATTGACATCTGCACCTACCTCTAACAATACTTTGACTACAGAGTCATGTCCATCCTCACAAGCTGCTGTCAATGGAGTATCTTGTCTATCATGAAGATTAACATCAGCCCCTTTTCTATCAAATGCTTTACTACATTTATACGTCCATGTTTACAAGCTGCTGTCAATGGAGTATTTTTCCAGCCTTGAATATTGACATCAGCCCCTGTTTCTAACAACTGTTTTACTACTTTTACGTGTCCATGTTTGCATGCTGCTTCCAATGGTGTTTCACGTGTTCCTTGTAGATTGACGTCAGCACCCACTTCTAACAATTCCTGAACAATATTCATATGACCATCCTCACATGCTGCAAGAAGCGGCGTGTCATACGCTACCCGAAATTGGCCGAAAGATCTTAACTCCTTATTTATCTCATTTTTATGAAAATATTTCACACATAAACTAAAAGTCTCTAAATCACCACTGTAACAACTGAGCAGAAGTAGGCGACATTTTTCAGAACTATACGGATCAATGATCTGTTTGGGCTTTCTTGATTTAATGATCAAATTCAAGGGATTTAATTTATCCGTCATTTGCTGCAATATCTTTTTCATTTTGCTTTGCTTTTTTGCAGAGCTTAAACCAGGTTTGCAATTATTCCAGAAAAGTTCAGACTGTATTTCGTTCTGTAGTTCAAGTTGTGTAAGGATGTACTTTAAAATCTGACTGTGTCCACAGTAAATCACCCAACTGATAATCCTTACACTGTAAGTTGATATACGTAGTGATATCGTTCTTTCGTTTACCAAAAATTGTTGTCTATAACTCTTTCTGCCATACGCATTTTTTCCTGTACTCACTACCTTAGACACATCTTTCTGTTCTGACAAAAATAAAACTTTCAACTCTGTGTAAGGCTTGGTCATTAACAAATCAAGAAAAGCATGACACACCTTAGGCTCTTTTAATACGTCATTCATGAAAACATCATAAAGATCCATATTTTTAATATCTCTGTAAAAACGTTCTGCTAGCATTGAATATTGATCCTCTGTTAGTGTAATGCAAAGATCTAATGACTCATTGTTTTTGTTTTCACAGCCTAAAACTTCCGTCTTTTCCTTTTGCTTATTGCCATCACTGTTTGCAACTTTGACACTATCTTGTTGTGTTTCGTTTTCTAACTGCTGTTTTTGACATTTGTGAATTTTTACCCTTTTTTGCAACGAAACTGCTGTCGATATATACCAAAATGAGATCTGGAAACTGGCAACCAAATGATATGCTATCACATCAAACATGAAGTCATGCACAAAGGTATACTCAGTCGCACAGAGTTTTGTGTATGTGTCCTCCATTATTGACAAAGCATCGATGAATTTGAACGCATCCGTGTAACTCTCAACTTTACAACATTCCAGTACTTTTGATTTCATTTCACAAAAGAACTCGTTATCTGTGTTTTTCAGCAATGTTTTTGATAATTTATTGTTATTCAACATGCACAAGACCAACGCAGCATAGAATAATCTATTTTGTTGTTGCATTTTGTCAAATTCCCTTAAGATGTATTCAACTGGGCAGGTGAAGAATCTTTCAACATTGATTTTTGATTTATCTTTTTTTGAGTATAATTTACAAATCAGGGGAAACATTCCCGATTTATTCTTCAGCAGCGAAGGAGACAATAGATCCATATCTAAGCCATGCTTCTTTAGAATATTTTTTTTTGTCAACATCATTCAGAGCATTTTCTGGTGTGTTCAATTTAATAACATTTTCCTCATTTTTGAAAAATGAAAAATAGCATTCGTTAAACACAACTTCCCTACTTGACATCAATACTTTTGTTTTTTATTGGAGGGATTTGATATTATTTCTGCATAGTCTATCAAAGACTCTAATTTTTGTTTTCGAAGACGTATCACCCCTACCACGTCATCAACGACAAACACCTGTGCATTGCTAGGATCACAATAATCTTCAATCTTCTTAATGTCTATGATTGGAACAATCTCATAGCCTTTGCTTTGTAGAATAAAGGCTATATGATGAATTGTAGCTGATTTTCCCCGAACCTGGGACACCCACAAAAGTCATATAGTGCTGCTCTCTGACTTTATCCAGCATTTCTTGGAAGTTGTGAGTCTCAAAGTAAACGACATCTTCTTCTCTCCAACGTTGAATGAATTCTTTTTCATGAAGGTCTAAAGAAAAGCAATATTTTTTTTAATTTAGTATTTTATCAAATGTGAATGATTGTAGTGATTTTAACACACTATTGACTTAACTGACTTTTGCAGAGGTCTAATACGAGGGGCGTTCAATATGTTTTGTCCAAACCATATTACAGCAACAAAAACGAAATAGAAATTAAAATCATTTATTGCATTCCCTCAAAGTAATCTCCCTTGTATTTAATACAGAGATGAACTCTTTTAATCCAGTCAAAAACACTTTTTTGTAAGTTTTTTGTGGTATACCCCATAAATGCTGAAAAATAAATGATCCCAGCCCTGACCGCGTTGAAAACGTCTTCCAGAGAGAGCTTCGTTTAGTTTTGGAAACAAGAAAAAGTCACAAGGAGAAAGATCAGGTGAATATGCAGGATGCGGAAATTCGACAACTTTGTGACGCTGTAAATAGTCTCGGGAAACCTTTGCTTTATGTGCAGGAGCATTGTCATGCAGAAGTTTAATGCCTCTCAAACCGGTATTAGGTCGTCTTTTTTTTGTAAAAATTATAAAGTCTCGGAAGTATACGTGAGGAATACATATTTCCAGTGACACTTTTGCCCTGTGGGACTGCATATTGAACTACCAAGCCATTTGAGTCGAAAAATATTGCGTTCAGAGCTTTCTTAGAAGTTTGAGTACTTTTTGCAATTGTTGGCCTCTTCAAATTCTTTCCAATCCAATCTGATTTTTCACTTTTCTTTCTGGCTGGAAATAATGGACCCATGTTTTATCACCTGTGACAATCTGACTTAGCATCTTAGTGTCCATACTTTAAAACATTTCAAAAAGTTTTTGGCACTTTTGTAAACGATCCCTCATCTCAGCTTTGGTAAGAATATGTGGAATCCATCTCTGAGTTTCAGAGTTGTTTACGTCAACGGCAGTACTGTTATTTACGCAAGTGTCTGTGGTAAAACTGCTGGTCTGGGTCTCATTGTTATCTACATCAATACCGGTGTTTACACAAATGCTAGAAAAAACTGCTGGTCCCTTTTTTGAAGCGACCTTTCTTGTTTCTTGCTCTAGAGGGATTTCCCTCCATTGTTGATTGTTTACTAGTTACATCGTTAATATACTTTCCTTCTTTCACAAAAGATTTCCAAAAATTATAAATACCGGATTTTATGGTACGAATAAACTATTTCCGAATATGAGATCAGAGTTATCTCGCCTTGCTGAGGATCGGAAATCGTTAAAATAGGTTGAAAAACACTGCCAGTTGAAATTCCTACACGTTTTGCTTTATCTTTGACGGTAAGTCGTGCATCTGTCTTACAATTATCACGGATTTTGTAAACGTTACTTTCGGTGACTGCTCTTGGTGGTCTTCCAGAATGTTTGTCGTCGGAAACACGTGTTTTACCACTCTTAAACTTGCTAACCCATCTGTAAACTGTCTTTTTGAAATAACAGACTCACCACATATCCGAACAATTTCTTCATATATTTCATTTCGTTCTATACCAATGGCACAACGAGCAAGAATATACCTTCTTATTTCAAGTGACTCAAGACTTTGTGTTTTACCCGTAATTGATGTTCAGTGTACATTCAGGTAGGTCGTTGCAAACGTAAGTGTGTGTTTCACAGTGCAAAGACTTGTTCCAAATTCTGCCAATATGTCAATAAATGATATATTCATTCATGGATGACCAGATCCCCCGAATCGACTGATCTAATTTATATTGAAAACCATAAGGAACAAAAAATATTGAACGCCGCTCGTATGTCTTTCCCTGCTGCCAAATCATAATGAATTTTCGTACATAAATTGAAATGAACAAGAAAATATCCCTTGAAAAGAGTTTTAGGATTTAAAAAAAATGTTCAAGGAATTCGGCTGATATAATGTCATCTCTGCACGGATATATTAATTACAAAATATTTGTGATAATTCAAATTCAATTTTGAATTATGTTTTTCTATCTAAGACAAATGTAAGATAAATTTATTATGTTATGTGTAAAATGGTCAAATCAAATGCATTGGATTTTTAAATGTAAAAAAGCACAGGCCAATTACAGTTTTCATAAATTCTAAGGCAACGTTAATTAAAAGAACAAAATACATATTTGGATATGAGAGGCCTCATTAATTGAACGAAAATTAACTTTGGTGCGCAAATGTAAAATGTGAAAGTAGTTGTCGACAAAACATCCGTACGTCCAAAGTATCTGCGATGTTATACATACCCCTAACATTTGGAGGGATGACTCGTTGTAGTATTTTTATTTCATCTGAAAGAAATCCAGAAAAAAAATGTTTTTAAATTATAAATAATTGATGAATGGTCACATTTAAGTTGAAACACGTTATTTGATTGAATCAAATATTTCATCTATACCATATAGCCTTACGCCGCAATGAATTACGTCAAAAACGTATTACTTCTGTTGACGTTACTTTTAAAACATTTTAAATTTAAAGCCATCATTGGTATAAAAAGTGTCATATTACCAAAAATTTAGATGTAAGCAATGACGCTTATTTTAGATTATACGACATAATATGAATCGGAGAAGTTTACGCTTTTTTATGGATCGCAAAGGGTAAAATAAGCTTTATTCCTTCGTTGTAATGTAAGGCCTGTAAAGTATAGCACTAATTCAAGGAACTTCTTATGACTTTGTCTAAAATATTCAATTTCTATTAGATAAAATGTGATTCATTTTTGGTATGATTTATTCCTAATAGAAAAAAAGTTTTTCTTATTACATATTTTGTGATTTCTATTCTATAAATTGTTATCTCTTTTAGAAAAAAAAAATAATAAGATTCTTATTCCATAACATATCAATCATTTAAAAAGAAATTAGATCTTTTTGTACCATTTGTTTTACTCATAACATATAATTTAAACACAACTTTAATTTTCTCTAACAATTATTTGATAATACTGCAACCGAGGGTGGAAGGGGGGGGGGGGGGTCAACAGGACTTCCAATGAACAACTCGTATATAAAAGAAATCTGTGAAAAAAATGCCCCTCCAACCGATGCTCATGCCTGTGGACTACAATTCTTCTGCGAAAGTAAAAATTCAATACATCGTACTATAATAAATTATTTAATGGTGTCTCTCTTTGGTTATTCATCAAAAATCATTAAAGAAGTATAGATGAAATATACAAAGCACCTCTAATGTCCTTGCATCAGAAATCAACCCATATTTAGTATGGCGTCAGAAGTGGGGGCAGGGGCTAATTGAAAATGGGGTTAAACCAACAGAAAAAGGTAAGCCCCAATGTTAAATGGTTATATTATATGAGCCGTTCCAAAAACCCCCCCCCCTTATGTCCAAATGTTTCGAAAATGACTTTTTTCTTGAAAAATGATATAGAACCTTAGGTGGATATAAACAGTAAATATTAGGATGTATCTTGCTCCGTTACGGATTTACAGGTATTTAACGTATGCATCATTTAAATACGGCTGCCGTATTTGATAAATGTTCTCTTACTTGTAGTGACGCCGGTGTAAAGACAAATAATGACCCCCATCGAATAATGACCGGGGGTCATTTATCGACAGCAAAAAATGACCCCCGGTCATTATTCGACGTAGAAAAATGACCCTTTTGCCCGTAGAAAAAGTGTCACCACCCTAAAAATTTGCAGAACCCACGTGAAGAAAAATGACCCCCTAGAAAAATAACCCCCTGTAGATTAAAGCTAAAATTTTTAGGGGGCAACGAAAAAAAAAGATAAAGAAGCATATTGACCAAAATGCTCACCTGAGCTTATTAGCAATAAAGTGATGATATGTTTATCTCATAACATTATACAATTATAGCTACATTTTAATGTCAATGCAATGATTCAGAATCTAAAGGAGTAAAACTTAAGCCTTAAGGTTAGGTAAGACATTGTTTTTTGATAGTGGAAATCATCGAACTGACAGAAAAAATCAGCAGTATTATATATTATTAACTCCTCCCCTTGAAAAGCGAGAGGGTATATAGTGATCGGGATGTCCGTCCGTCCGTCTGTTACGCTTTGAGGTATCCATCTCTTATCTGCAAATCCTCATATATAAAAAAGATGTGTTTGTGAAACAGATATGTCCCTGTATGGCAACATTGCGAAGATTAAACACAAGACGAAAGACCACCTTTAAGCAATCGCTTAATGGTGGCTTAATGGTGACTTAATGGTGCCTAAAGAAGTCAACTTCATTAAGCCACCATTAAGCCACCATTAAGCTGCAACTTAAGGTGCTTAATGTCCAAACTTCATTAAGCTACCATTAAGCAACCTTTAAGCCGAGCTTAATGGTGACTTAATGGTCAAACCTCATTAAACTTTTACGTTTTACGCATTTTATATCGAATCTTTGATCTAACTTTTAAAGTTATTTCAATGTCATTTACGCAAAATCTATCTTTTTGTGATTTATAATTTTGTCTCAATCGTAATTCTTAAATAACATTTCTGTCAACATGCAAAATCTCGGGCACTGAGAATAAAGTTAGCTAACAGGGGCTTGCTCCCGGTTTCTAATATTTTTAATTTTTTTTAATCATTTACAGTATCATAACAAAAGAAGTTTTATCTTATTACCGCATATGATTTTTTCTTAAATAAATAATTATTATATGCCGTTTTATAATTTGTGTATATGATTTTTGTTTTAAAAAATAAATAATTATATTATTACACGCCGGGGCCAACCCCCTGTAAAATATTTTAATTTCTCAAAATCAATTTGTTCTTAAAATTATTTATTTATAAACACAAAATATAATTATATTACTTTTTTAAAAAAAAAGAGATGGTATTTTTATTTCATGTGTTAAAAACAACATATTCTGCTACATAATTCCAAGGAATATAAAGTCATGTCCTCATTAGAAAAAAAAATCTGTCTTTTTTTTTTTTGGAGGGGGGGGGGCGGGCTGGGACCACAGGTATAAAAATAATGTTTAGTTTTCAAAGTTTGACTAAAAAATGTTTAGTTTTCAAAGTTTGACTTTTACATCATGAATAATTTGAATTAATTCGTTATTTTTTCTTATAATTTATATAATACAGCGGTAAGTATCTGTCAAAATCTAGTCGGTCTTCAATCATTGTTATTTCAAAATCGATTTTCAGAAGAACAGCCGATCAGATTAAACATGACATCCGACCAGATTTATACACATTGTGAAACGGGGTAAGATTAACAGTGTACAGTACCGACTGGTTAAACAATAGACCTTAATTAGGTGTCCACCGTCCCCGGTCAACTAACAGGAAACTATACATACACAACGTACCCTAACAGATTTTGATGATCAATTATTTTGACAAAATTTAAATTTAATGCAAGCATATAACAAATTAAAAATTATGATTCATTGCAAAATGACAATTATTTTGATACCCATTATGATACAAAAAGAATTTTAACTGAATATGATATTCAAAAAAAAGTTTTTGTAAACAATAACCGGGGTAACTCGTAAACGAGGATTGTCACTATAGGCCTAAATCTTAGACACAAAATCCGTTAATATCCGCAAAATTTTTTATTTTTTAAAAAAAAACATCTGTTTTTCCCCGGGTGAAAAATTTTTTTTGTGTTTTATCTATAATTAATTTAATTTCAATCTTGATTTAATGTTAACGTATTAATCTTCAAAAAAAGAGTGAATTAATTACAATTTAAAAGCCGAACTCAACGGTGTAGAAATATTAATGTGATATAAGCCTTTTAAAAGATCCATAAGTAAAAATGTTTATAG